TATGCACCAGTTGAAACCCCGAAGAAACCCTGGAAAATTCTTGAGAAGCCCGAAAAATGCCAGCCTAAACCCTAAACCCTAAACCCCAAACCCCAAACCCTACACCCTAAACCCTAAACCCTAAGCATCCTGGCCAGCAACAACTCCCCAAAAAACCTCCCTGGAGGCGACTCCAAGTTACCCAAGCTGCGGTCCTGGCGCATTCGGAGGATGCGACCAGCCAGGCTTGGGGTTTCCTTTGTTGGGGCCCCTAAAACCCCTTAAAGGGGACCCCATCTATGGTAACTTATAGGTGCCCTTAAGAGGGAGGGAGGGTTTCGGGTTTAGGATTTAGGGTTTGGGGTGTAGGATTTAGAGGTGTAGGGTTCCTTGAAGGGGTTGCTTTGGGGGGTTCCTTTAAAAGGGTTTGGGTTTGGAGTTTAGGGGGTTTTGGATTTGCGTTCCTTTGGGGGCCTTGCCCTCTCAAGCTACTCTGAAAGGAGCCTTTACATGCACCTTTAAGGGAACCCCTCATAGAACCCTTATCGGACCCTACACCCTAAACGCCTTCATTCATGGAACCCTTAAAGGGGTTTGGGTGTAGAGCTCAGAACGCCTTGAGATGTAGGATTACGGTTTAAACGGGCTTTGGGTCTCTCAGGTCTAGGAATCTGGGACCTTTGGGCTTAGAATTTGATGAACAGGCTTAGGGTCTAGGGTCAAGGAGCTGAATCGACTTGATCGTTGAAGGAAACCATAATTAATGAGGAACCCTAAAAGGGTGGTTCTTAAGGGTCCAGACAGATCTCTGCTATACCAGCTCAGGAGTTTCGGGGTTACAGGTTTTAGGGTTGAGGGGTTTAGGGTTTAGGGTTTAGGGTTTAGGGGTTTAGGGTTTAGGGGTTTAGGGTTTAGGGTTTAGGGGTTTGGGGTTTAGGGTTGAGGGTTACGTGAAGCAGGTTTTTTTTGCAGTCTCGCGGCATGGCGCAATCATCCTGGGCAGTATTAAGGAGACCCCTCAAAGGGGACCCTTCTTCACCCTACTTCTGGCTTCCTTAGAAAGGACCTTATTGAAAGGGTCTACATCCCCGAGGGTCCTCTCGATACTCCCAAATCAGGGCACCCGTATGATAAGGCCTGGAAGCTTCGGGCTCTCGCCGGTTGGTTTCAGGCTTCGGGAAGGTGCCACCTTCCTGGACATCGTAAAAACGTATCAGGCTTATGGTTGAAAGAGGTTATGTTCCAGCCGGCTCTGCTGTCGAAATGCCAAAGACCCCTATACCCTAAACCCCTAAACCCCTAAACCCCTAAACCCTAAAACCCTAATTAAACCCCAAACCCTAAACCCTAAACCCTAAACCCCTGAACCCCTAAACCCCTAAACCCCTAATACCCTAATACCCTAGGCACGAAAATGGCTCGGTCCAGGCTGTGGCTTCAAAGGCATAGGTGGCTTTGGCGACGAGCGTCTGGGCGTAAGAAGGTAGCTCTCTAAATTCGGATCCTCTTTCGGGCCCCGCAGATACTATGGCACCCGTATCAAAAAGAGACAATTGAAAGCCTAGTTCTCCAAAACCCAACCTCTAAACTTTTTGGGTTCTTATAACTTAGTAGCAACTTGAAAGTTTAACCTCTAATTTCCCTGGCTCATTGGGGAAGTAAGAAAGGGACTTTCATGTAGAGAGCTACCCACCGGCAAGAAGGAAAGAGTAGTTTCAGCAGCTATGGGCTTCACCATGCTTCGGGGGAACGGGGTGGGGGCCGCTATGCTGTACAAAGTTCACAATATCCGAAGCATGATGACCAACGCCGAAGGACAAAACATGCTTGGCCAAATAAGCAAAACACCGTAGTAAATGGCATGTTGAGAACTCGCTGCTTCTTCTCCTTCCTCTCTTGGAAGCCAAAAGCCCTGAACCCTAA